AAATTGTGTGGGATCCAAATTGTACTCTGCAGGCTAGATAATTTTCAATCCATTTCAGAATGTTTTCTTGAATACCCAAAGCGTTTAGTTTATGCAACAACAAATTGTGGTTTACTCTGTCAAATGCCTTTGAAAAATCTGTGCAAATAGAATCCACCTGGTGTCTATTTTCGAAGGCGATTATTATACAGTGTTGATAAATCAGCAGATTTGTGCTGGTAGATCTACCACTACTGAATCCATGTTGTTGATTAATGATTATATGTCTACAATTCCATGTTAGTTTTTTTGTAATTAGGATGTCTAACAATTTGGGTAATTTTGATTGATTACAGACTGCTCGATAATTTTTTATATCATTATGTGATCCACTTTTATAAATAGGTTTCAAAAAACTGTTTTTCCAATAATCTGGAAAGATCGACGATTTCAAGAAAATATTGAATATCATGTGAATTGGTTTGACCAGGGTAAAAATACATTTCAGGCCAATATTTAGTGAAACCAATATTTAGGTCAACATAAATAAACAAACAACAAAGTCCAAGGTCAGCTAATGATACCATTATTTTGTTTGCGGAGTACAAAACCAAGAGAATATTCAGAATAAATTCTTAAAGCATTTATTTTTCAAGCGATATCACAGGTGGCCAAACTATAACCCAAAGAGGTCTTTGGATCTACGACATAAATTCAAAATATCATCTTTATAACGGCCACCCCAATTATCTTCAATGATATTCAGGCACAAACTCTTGAATGACAACATATTCCGAGACGTATTTTATTACGAATGATGAACTTCACCCTTTATTTCAATTGTAAGTTGAAGATATAAGTTATGTTTTTGTTTCAGTTATGAAATAATAAAGGCGATAATTTTTTTTCTCCGTAGTGTGCGCTGGTCAGGCCCTATCCCCCGAAGCCCCGATACATTCGGGAGGGCGCGCCAGCATAATCAACCAATGACCACTCCCCACACCGTGGGGTAAGTGATCATTGGGTCCGAGAATCATGTGCCCTGAGCAAACGCAGTGAGCCAAGAATGACAGCCTTCTGCATCTGTGCGGCTAAGATTTCTGCCTTAGTGCGGCAAGCCGGTATGATTTTGAGATTCGAGAGTAGAGAAGACATCATTCCACCAAGGACTCC